GGAAGCTCCACGTTTAGCAGCTTGGCTGGCTTCAGGTCTGCCGCATAGGAGGGGACAATGCAGAAGGAGGAGCTGAAGGCAGGGTTACTTGTGTCACTGGCTGAGTCTGTAGGGCCAGACAGTCTCCTTGCCCATCAGTTGCTGGGTGGCAGCCTAGGAGATCTTGGTGCTGGTAGTGTTGGATGGAATGTGGTGGTTGGCGGAGGGAAGAGACGGGCCCGGAAGGCATGCCTACGTGTCTCCTGTGGACCGTCAGTTGTTCAGAGTAGCACTGTGCGCCTGATGGGGGGGGTGCAGGAAGGGAGTGAGGATTGCTGCACACGTGCACTTGTACTTGTCCTTCTTGCCTGCCTCACAGGAAAATAAAGAGCAACTTTCCAGTCCACCATCATCACAAAGTTTGGCTAGGAAGCTTGTGTGTTACTTGAGCAAAATCTGGATATGGATTTCTAGGAGGATTCAGGAGCAGGGCTCCTTGGCTCAGCATACTCTGCCCTTCTCCATCCCTAGCAGGAAAATTATGCAAAATAAGCAAAAGCTGTGCAGGTCATAGAATTTAGGGTACCAATCTGGATTCTTTTTAGGATAAAAGATTGCAAATGAACCTGCCCGTGACCATAATCACCTCCTTGAAACTGCTAACAGTAAGAAAATTCCATTTCAGAATCTGTCTGGGCCAAAGAACAGCTCTTAAGTGGCTGGCATTTTCTCCACTGTCAAAATCTCTGGCATTCAATCTTTCTTTTGGAGCCGGTTCCTGCTCGGGTCCACGGTGGGAGCAGGAGAGTCCAGGGGGCCAGTGTAGACATAGCCTAGATGGGGGTCTCGGCTATCTGAAGATGAGCTCACACTTGCCAGCTATTCTTGGCTCCAACGTGCTTGCTGCTGCTAATTTCATGCCCTGTGATCCAGGTAACGCTCCAGTGCCTCGCTCCGTCACCCAGGGCCTGAACTGCTTTTTTAGCCCAGCAGGAGCCCAGCTGCTTCTGCTGCCGAGCTTAAGCTGAATAAAAAGCTACTTTGCAAAAGCATCTTGGCAGCACCGGGCAGGGTTTCTGACTGAAGCTGGTGGGTAATTTTTGCCATTTGGAAGAAGAAAAAATAGAAATGTTAAGCATCTGTTTTAAATGTTTTTATGGTTTTATTGAAAATATACACTGATTTTATGTAAGCCGCCCTTGGCTGGGAGGGCAGGGTAGAAATTTGAGAAATAAATAAATAATAAATGTTACCCCTGTATACAGAGACTGTTGTCTCTTACTAGAGAAAGTGTCGTTCCTGTGGGGTCGTCCCCTCCAATATAACCCTGTCATTAATGACTTAGAAGGCTTATTGGTCTGATGCAGTAGAAAAAAAGGAAGGGTTTTTGTGATTCGGCTCAATTAGCTTGGCATCTTTTGAATTTCCCAGAACCAGTTCTGTACACAGAAGCTCACGTCACCATGATGAGCTGTCTGCCCTCCTATGAGAAACTATGGAGGGGCATTCTGTACTACAGTATTTTTATATGCAAAACAAGTTGGGGGCCCTTAAGGAATTGTGGAAGAGGGGAAACGATTTGGAAATCTCACCTGCCCATGGTCAAATCTCCCCCTCCTGTACTCTGGAAGTGCCTAGAGATTAGAACAGACTGATTTCTCCTCCCCTCACATAGGGTCGCCAACTCTGGGTTGGGAGATTCCTGGACATTTGGGGGTGGAGCCTAGGAGGGTGGGTTTGGGGCAGAGGAAGATACTTTAGCGTGGTATAAATACCACATAGTCCATTCTTCAAAACAGCCATTTTCTCCACGGGAACTGATCTCTGTCACCTGGAGATCAGTTGTAATTCCAGGAGATCTCCAGGCCACACCTGGTGGGGGGACCACCCTATCCCCACCCCTTTTAACTGGCTCTCAACATTCTATGCTCCTGACGCATATTCAGTCCTCAGGAGACTGTTCTGAGGTTAGAGTTGGCCCCTTTCTTTGGGTTAATTTGTAGTCAGGTTTACTATTAGATGTAGCGATAAGGGAAGTCTGAGAAGGTTAAGCAATGACAAATAGAAGACTGGCATGATTTGCAAGGCATCTGTGTCATTTCCTGAAAATAGACCCGTGACTGGTTATTGGCCTTCCTGAACCCCCACATGCCCATGTAAATAATTTGAGCACAGTTAAGGCTGAAAAGGGAAGAGAACCAACTCTTTTCTAATTGACTTCCACATAACAAACAGTGCAATGCTAAACAGAGTTAGGAATAACTCTGTTTAGGATTGCACTGTATATAGGAGAACCTCTAGGTGTGCCATTCGTGCATGCAAGCAGAATAGTAAATATGTTTATGGGATAGCATGAGGCATTGCCTGCCGTTTCAAGCACATGTTTCAAGCACATTCAGATGAGACACTTGCTTTAAAAAATTGAAAGCTGAGATTCTCAGGGAAGTGGAAGACCCCCCCCCGCCCCCCCGGTTCTCCATGGAATTGTGGCATATGTACAGCTTTGAGCATAGTATGTCATAATGAAACCCTGGGACTGAGATCTTGCAAACAGGTAAGTGCCAATTTACAATCCTGCTTCAGAACTTGGAGGATATTTCTGCCCCTTCTGAAATCAGGTACAGTAGTTTAACGCATCCAGGCATCACGTTGGGTGTCTTGGCCTGTAGTGCAATTCTTGAAAATGAAGGGAATTAAAATTAAAAAAAAGAGTCCCTTTTCTTCCTCCACTCATGTTTTTGCTGTGTTTCATCAGAACTAACAAGAAGGCCTGTGATGGACAGAAAGGTGTCCCACTCCTGAAGGGGAAAATCAGCCATTCACTTAAGCCTGTGGGAGTGCTACTCCATTATCCAGTCTCCTGTGAGAAGTGGGGGGGGGGGCCCTAGAATTGGGTGGAGGGAAAACACAGCAGGAAGTCAGTTGAGTTCTGCCTCAGGGAGAGAGCAGAGCTCAGGTCTGGCTCAGCAAAAGAGCAGACAGAGTGAAGAGTAGCTCTGCTTGGTGGTGTGGCAGAGTAGTTTAGCTCTACCTCTGACAGAGAATAGAGTACCCGATTGTTAGGCCTGTCTCTGGTGATGACTGGACCTTGGACCATTTAGGGTGACTCTTGGGAAAGGGCAGGCTGGTGTGGGTGGAATACTGTGTATGTGTCAGGATCCAACCAAGTGGCCAGTCGGTAAAAGCCTGTTCATGCTGGAAAGTATTAACATTGAAACTACTTTTTAAATTAATGTGCCTCAGCCAGATTTCTCTTTTATCTGTCTGGAGACCAGTGCTGATGGTCTGTTCCTTGAAACCTACTTGTAAATAAATAAATCATCTTTATTGTTAAAATAGCATTCCTGTCTCAGTGACCTCCATTTTTTTCATGTGCACCACAAAGCTTACCTCACAGAGGTGAACCCAAAACCTATATAATTGCTACCTTTAGAACACTTCATAACTATGGGGAAGGTTTATAATCTCTCCTTTATATATAACAAGAGAGGAGACCCGCAAAACCCGCGGGGGGCGGGGGCGGGGGAGCTCTGCAATCAGCAGACGGAGGAGGAAGCAGGAGCAGGTGAGCTTTCCCCCCCCATCCTGCCGGTTTCGCTGTCTCCTTCCCCCCCCGCCCCCCCGGCTGCAAAAGGAGGCCCGCGCGGCTTGGAGCGTTCCCCCCCGCCCGGAACTCGGCGCTCCCCACCTGGCTGCAAAAGGAGGCCCGCGCGGCTTGGG